GCTACCCCTTCGATCCGAGGCAGCAATCCAAAAACGTACAAAAGCTCCCCCGCGCGGGAAAACAAGAGCGAGCACACGTTTCAACGCGTCAATGCGTCGCGCATTGTACGTGACTACAGCAGAACAATATAATTCACGCCTTACTTCGGGTGCTCGCTCTGTCCAAACGGCTTATCTCGTTGTATCCGTTGCGATAAAGTAAGCAAAAAACACGGTCAACATATACGCTGTCAGTTGTTTCTTGACATGTTTGTATTTGTTTCATAAAAAAGATTACTTCACATTAGAGAATAGTCGACTGATTGCTTCTCAGCCATGCGAATACCGTTCATGTTGAGTGCAGACCACACATCACAAGTGACGACGACCTCACAAAATGTAAATGTTTTCTGCCAATGAAATGATTAGCCTGTTGCAGTTGTATTCTATCAGTTGTCACTAATTACAACTATCATTTACCAAAATCAGCTATCACTATGAATCACCAACTTACCAGATTTACTTGGAGGCCGTCGTCACTTGTGGTGTGTGGTCTGCAATCGACGCGTTTTCAGTTATTTGAAACAGAAGGTATGTGATCTACAATTCAGAAGAATTGCATCTTGGTAGAGACATTCACGACACAGAATCTCTGACGTGAATGCCTCTACCCAAATCCAATTCTTTTGAATGAATTTTCAGTAGATAGAGCTAGGCCTTGTCGAGGAATTCGAGCTATCAGGAGTGAAAGGTAATGTCGTACTTTTATCGCTGGCTGCAGTTTCTCATAGCGTTCCCATATCTCACGCCGATCTTCGTCAGTGACTTCAGCATCAGATCGTTTCATCTGCTTCACTGAGCCGACAACGACGCAATTGTTCCTAAAGAATGACTCACATAAGCTGATCCCCACGTTTCTGGAAATCCTTTAAACGATTTTGATGCCTTATTGTTCATTGCCATTAGTTCCATACAACCTGCAACGAACAAGATAAATGATCCTAGTTTTACTCTTATGAAATCATTTTGAAAAGAAGAGGATTAACAGCAAGCCCCGGGATAAAAATGGTGTGTGACAGGGTTCAATACTGAAGCTGGGGTGGGGAGTGGTCCGGAAAAGAAAAAAAAGAAGCGAAGGAAGCCTTCGATTGCGCCCATACGAGACCTCCTTTCTTTCAACCGCATTTCACCTTCGTATTTAGAAAGGGCGTGTTCTATCGAATTCCGCACAAGTGGCTAGCTGGAGTCATGTGTTCAGAGTTACTACACTGCCGCAACTTTTCGGGTGTAGTCTACACGATCGGCAATTTAAAGGTAACCTTGTTAAGCTCGGATTGTGCCTTTGGAAATGAACATCACCGACTAAGCTATGAACAAAGTCTCGTGCTCTGTTCCATGATGAAATATTCAACTATATGTTTTCTAGAACTGCTGGGAGGAGTTTTCGGTTCGTAGTTCTATCCGTATAGTTTTCCAGCATGGCCCTACTTAATTAATGCTTTATAATCAAGTCAACCTCAAGCGATATGAGATAAACAGCTCATGCTAAATGGTTATGGGCAGTGTCTTAATGACATCGGGAACAGTATTGGTGATACACTCGTTTTGTAGGCATCTGTGGAGTGTTGTACATGCAACTTAGTGCTAATTGGGACGGTCAGAATTCAACTGACGTCGTGCAAAAAAGAACTCACTCGGGTATCGGAAGGGTGTAAAAGTACGCTGTAGTTGAAAGGTTTAATTCAAGGCGGGCTTCAACTCTGAACATGTTCTGACAATAGCAAATTATAAAATTGGGGTTTTTATCATACGTAAGAAATCGTCCTAATCCTTGACATAGAAAAGTTCTTTTCCTCCACATTTGAACTAAACTCTGTTGGATTCAAAGCGAAATCTCCCAATGACAATTAAAGCACAGTCCAATATATCTGATTGACTTCACAATAGCCTTCTATTATACATTGAGACATCAGATGAGAGAGAATGTCTGTTGTAGGAAGCCAAAGTAAAACTGAGGAGATCATGTAGCACTTCAGGATACATCAACTACGGTAGGCCTCTTACAAGGGATGTAGCTAACGCTACTGTATATTTAGAGGAAATGCCACATTCCATAGCCACCTGCTTTATAAGAAGAGAGCTTAGCAGTATGCTTCTTGTGATGTGCCGGTCGTCCAGCTGCAGAATGCTCATAAAAGGGGACTTGGACTGGAGTCAGGGCCCTCTTCTGGATTGGCTCTGATCGAGTGCGGTCGTCTCAAGCTCAAGAAAGGATCCCCAAACGACCATCCGAGGACGTCTTATTCCAGCAATACAGGACGCGGCATATCTACGTAGTGCGTAACCGTTATTCGCTGTTTACATAACAATAAATTGTTAGTACTATTCTGGTTCAGTACGATCAAGAAAGAATCCGCGTGGCACAAGAAAAGGCGAGAAACTTTGGCTGCAAGTACCACAAGGGAGGTCTTTCAGGGCAAGCCGCGCTTTTTGGAAACGGTTTCTTGCATATTGTAGGGACGCATGTATGGACCACAAAACCATGTTTCGTTTTCGCTGAACGGTTTTAGTAGTACCAAAAAAGTGGTGAATGATACCCTTGATGGTTCGATCCCCCGCGGCGACTAAATTTTGCAATCAAGGTTGGCGGCCACTTGTTGGCTTCAAAATGGTCCTGACGATGAATTTGACATCTGATTTTGATATTTAGCGCGATTTGGCACCAACCGTAGGCGCCAACCCAAATGCAAAATTTAGTCGCCACGGGGGATCGAACCATTAACAGTACCTTATGCTTCTTTTTTGGTACTGCTAAAACCGTTCAGCGAAAATGAAACATGGTTTTGTGTTCCCTACATGCGTCCCTACAATATGCAAAAACCGTTTTGAAAAAGCGCGGCTTGCCCTGAAAGACCCCCTTGTTACAGCTCGACGGCGATGACAGATGACGTCACATCCCAAGACGGTGAAGCAGTGAAGGATGGCCTGCGTTTGATACAAGATTATATTGTTCCCTTTGGGCGCTCGAATACCGTAACCCGCGGTGGCGCCGGAGCGCAGCTGCAAGCCTCCAGCGTGCAACGCTAGCATTAAGGCAGCGACTGCAGTTGGCGAGACTACCCCGGTTTCCTAGGGCAGCAACCCAAAATTGGAAGAGCGTCGCAGCTCGCCTGCGGCGGCAGGGGAGGTCTTCCCGGGGTGCCGCTTCATCGTACGCGAGGCCAACCCGACATGCGCGCCATCCTCCACCTCCTGCATGAACGGCGCACGGTATAGTTCGCGGGTTCGCTCGACACATTTCTCTTCGTTGAGAGGACGCAGAGAAAACGAGAACTGGGAGGCGAGCACGCACGGAAAATTGATGACACGAAATGTGCGAGACAAATTTGCGCGTGTGGTAGGGTGCTTGTTGAAGCCCCAGCACCAATAACATCGAGCCTGACGGCGAATT